GCACTGGAATAAATACTTTCAGTAAGGGAACAGATTTCACTTTTTAAGGAGTTAAAGGCAGTGTGTTTTGATAATAAAAAAGACATTATAACAAAAAAATGCTTGGCGCAGGCTCCTCTTTGAATTGTTTGAGCTGTAAAATGTTTTCCAGAGTTGTAATGATTCTTAGCAATCTAAAAATAATCATATTAGCATGAAGTGGATCCTGTGACAGTAAAAATAAATTCATAGACCTATTTTTTCCCTGTTTCTTTCCATAGTATCATTGCTTTGCTGTTGCAGTTTTTTAATTACTTGTGCATTTTTATTAGTGTTGTTTCACATTTGTTTTAATTAAAGCATGGCTAGGTTCAGAAAAATGTAGATGTAATAGTGATCTCTTGGTGTTCCATATTTACTCTCCATCTGTGGAATCAGAATTTAGCTGTCAAGATTGTTGATGATGCAAGAAGCAAATAGAACATAACTTCATGTTCTGCAATTATTACTGTTTCAGCAGGGTTGGCAGTATTAAACACTTGTATTTGTAAGTGATCTAAATGGAAATGACTGAGATGTATGCAGTAACAAAGAGTCATTCTACACACTTGCTTTTTAGCCCACTTCAAGTTTTATTTTTTAAATGAAATTTCCCACTCAAGATAGGTTTGAAGAAAGGGGTGGTGGTGCTCGTGGGGACCCAGACTGACTATAAACTAGTGGCCACTTATTGATTCCTTTGCTCACAACAAGTAGCAACTTACTCCAAAAGTAGTTACATTGAAATCAACAAATTAAATACATTCATTTACACAACAACTGAGCTAGTATTGTATATTGATAATATGAAATGCTTCCTCGCCCCACAACTAGTTTGTAAAGTTGAAATCCCACTTCTCCTGTGGCTGGGAATCTTACCATCCACTCACAGAGGGATGAATTTGGAAGAAACTACTTCTGGAGATCCATCCAGCGTTTTCTTCATTCTCTTATCCCTCTCCTTGAGGAGGTGCCAAGCTATACATTCCTTTGGCAGATTAATATACACCTCTACCCCGATATAATGCGGTCCTTGGGAGCCAAAAATCCCTTTATATCGGGGTAGCAGCCACAGGGCTCCAGTGGTGATTTAAAGAGCCCTGGGCTCCAGCTGCTGCGGGGAGCCCGGGCCCTTTAATCGCCGCCTGAGCCCCGCTGCTGGAGACCCCGGGGGTAGCAGCAGCAGGGCTCCAGTGGTGATTTAAAGGGCCCGGGGCTACCCGCAGCAGCCGGAGCCCCGGGCCCTTTAAAGCGCCGCCGGAGCCCCGGGGTTACCGCACTATATGAGAACCCGTGTTACATTGGGTTGCGTTATATCGGGGTAGAGGTGTACTTGGAAAATTTACTGTGACTATGTTTTAGTTACAGAGGATAAAATAGGAGCCGCTTGCTTGATTCCTGTTTTCTGTGATTCCCATCTACAGCGATCCACATCCCCTTGTAGGCACATGAAGTTTTTCCCTGGGTGCCTTCACTAAAGGCAGAATTGCACATAGGGTAATACATATAATGAGAGAACTGATTTTAATTATCTCCTTTGCATAAATTATCCTGAAAGCCTCAGTAACCTGGTATGTATCAGAGGGCAGAAATTGGGCCTTAAAAGGAACCTCATGTACATGCATTCTGCCCTGAGCTCTCCTCATGCAGACTAACTCTCTCTAGAACAAATATGCATTGAGGAATATGAAAAATACTCAGTGTTTAAGAAAATCCATAAAGTTCACATCACCCACTGTGGCAAAATATATTTTTTAAATAAAGGTATAATTGTAAATTAACCACTCTCCCTTCCTCACCTTCTAAAATTTGTACACTAATGCTATGAAACTGTCATTTAGGGTTATTGCTGCTAGGTTTAAATAGCTGAGAGGTTATTTAATGTTTTATATTCATGCTTAATAATGGCTGTAAACATACTGGGTCTGGGTTCTCTGGTGTCATGCAGCTGCTTTGCACTGGACTGACAGTACAATCTGGTTACAAATCTGGCATCATCATCCCAGGAATATCATCATCTCAGTGTAACAGTGACCCTTTGGTGTATAGCATTTTTTAAAATAGCATACACCTTCCCTGCTGGGGTGTTAAAGGAAAAAGGCAGCGTGGCTGACCAATTCTCAGTGGTCTTTTTGGGCCCTGTGACCTATTAAAGGCTGGTTTAAACACTGGGGAAATGTGCTTCACAGAAGTGCAAAGGTGAGCTTTAAACCACCTTTGCACAGTACCCTCTCACTGGTGTTCTGTGCTGTTTGACTGTCGTCCAACATTCAGAATAATATTTTAAAATTTTGAGTGACTAAAACTTTGCGAAATTTCCTTTCTCTTGAAACAAAATGTGCACATGTGTATAGATGTGTGCATGTAATTGCATACAAAAATACATGAAAAGAACATCAGTAAGGTTGCAAAGTCAAGCTCTCAAAAGCTCTTACTTCAGCTCCCTGGTGGGTGGGTGTGTGTGTGTGTGCGCGCGCGCGCATATATATATATATGCATTATGATACAAACTTTAATTACATGATTGCATACTATTTTTCCATTGCACCCCTACTTAGTCATTGCACAGGATTAGATGCTTTTTACTCAATAAGCATCTGTTCAATATTTCATTTTAGTATTTCATTTCCTTATTTACTGTAAACCATCCTAATCCTTCACTGAATACAGAATTATTAACTTCCACACGGACTTCTCAGTGTAGCTTGTCATCACAGTATGTGAGTACTTCACAAACACTAATGAATTCATCTTTACATCACCCTCGTGAAGTAAGGTTGGATCATTATTACCATTTTACAGATGGATAACTGAGTCACAGACATTTATGTTGAAAGTGTACGATAATTTTGGAACCACAATCTGAGATGCTTATAGCCTGATTTTTCAGAAAACTTAGCATTTTATAGCGCATTATATGTTGAAAACACAGTTCCTGTTAACTTCAGTGCTCAGCGTTTCTGCAAATCTGACCTCAGGGTCTTAAATTGGGCACCTGGAAAATGAGGAACACAGACTTAATGGCCATTTGTGAGATGTTTGGTTTAAATGACTTTTCTAGCATCACACAGGAACTTTGTGGCAGAGGCAGAGATAGAATCCAGTTCTCCAGGGTGGCATTCGGTTGCCTTAACGATGAGATCCTCATTTCTCTTTACGCAATCCCCTGCCTTGTTCACTAATCACCTTCCTACTTCTGCAACATATGGGAAAGTGAAGTACAGACAATAGCCTCATTCACTACACAATTCTGATTCATTCGCTGAGCACTGTCCATCCTGTACACGAATGAGGCAGAAATCATGTGGATAAAACAGCATGAAGTTGTGTAATTAAAGATTGTATCACAATGCATATACACCAGTGGGCTTTATTAAGGTTGCTCATGCTTAATTGTGGCATTTCCTGACTTTTCAGCACTTGTCTTTACAATCTTAATGTTCTTTTAAGGAGTTTTGTATGGAATTTCCTAGGTTTTTTTTAAAAAGCAAACTGAAAAAACAGAAATGCCATCATGTGGAATCACATTGATATCCACATGATTCATCAGCAGGGTTGGAACCTTTTAGATCCATCATATGGACCTCTGCCACTTGAACTAACAGAGTGACGGATAACATTAATAGGTTGTCTATCTGTATGTGGGCCAGCCACAAACGGGAGATGAAGCGCACACTTTGCCAGTGGGTTGCACTGCTATTTGCTGATTGTAGCAGAATGCTGAGACTGGGAATCCTGGGTTCTATTCTGAGTTCTGTGGGGAGTGTTCTCTCTGGTTACAAACCCATCTGCTCCCGTTCACCCCAAGCCCTATTCCTTCTGTCCCTGGCTCCTCTGGTCTGCCCTCATCTTAATCTCTGCTCCACCCACTCTAATTCTTTTCTCAGTTTTACCCCCATCCCTCACAGTTCCCAGTCTCCTGCTGGTCCCAGTGACTTCTTGTTCCAGTGGCTGTCCCAGTGTTCCATCCCCCACCCCCAATTTGCTCCCCTTTAGTGCACTCATCATTAATTTGAATGTGTTCAAAGCTCAAGTTTAACAATCAGGCTTATGTGCAGCAGCAATAGTGCTGCTTTTAATGAGCTGTAAGGAGATACAGTGAACAACGCCCCACCCCCCCTTTGGTTTTTTTGTATCTAACAAGGTCTTTCAAAATACTGTTTAAATATTTAAATTGTGCCAGCTTGCTGTAATAGTGGCAGTGCACAAGAGATATCTGAATGACAGATTATAAACTTGGGCCTGGTTCTGCTACAGCTGCTTAGCCAAGTAGTATCATTGAACTAAATGGAACTTGTGTATGTAAAGATTACTCACATGAGTAAAGCACTTGGGATTGCACCAGTGATCCTTCCCTTCACGGATCCACCTTCTGGAAGCAATGACCCGAGAGACAAATCACCTCTGTAAAAGACCATCCTGTATCCTTCTGGCCAACAAACTCTGGAGGGAGCCTCATTCAATTCTCCTCCGAATAGGGAAAGTCATGGTGACATAGAGCCTTTTTTTGAGTGTCAGGATAAAGAAACACCACTGTCTAAACAACTCAGAGGGGGGAAAAAATCTGTGGACACTTGGAACTGCACTGTTGCTTGTCTGTTACTGAACTGATAACTAATTGATGTTGACACTCCAACTTCCTGTTCAGTTCGGGCATATTCTAATAACAAACTGAATGGCGTGCATCACAAAGTACATCAGGAAGGCCATGAGTCCATTTGCTGGTCAGATACTACATAATCTGGAATATCCAAAAAATTGAACATTTTATCCCATAACCCCTGAACATAATGCTCATTATCAATCAGTCTCCTGATGTGTGTTTGTTTTTATTGTTGAAAATATCCTTTGTGTGCACTGTAGTGTTAAATGGGAAGTGATGTACAAGGGCTAAGTATTAGTAGTATTTGTGCTGCTTTCATTAAAGTAATATATTATTGTTGATTAGATCAGAACAATAATATATGTTGTTTTATTTGCAGCTATATGTCAGCCTAGATGCAAACATGGTGAATGTATTGGACCAAACAAATGCAAATGTCTCCCAGGGTATACTGGAAAAACCTGCAACCAAGGTAAGAAAGCAAATCTTTCAATTAAATAATAATTAAAAAAAAAGCCTGCACAAGAGACTACAGAATAATTTTTATCCTAAAATATTAAATAATGTTATGCATAGACACTTCAATTTCTGCTTATTTATAAACAATTAACTGAGTATACCTATATAGTATTCATAAAGGGAATGTACTATATATCCTGCACTTGCAGAATAATGGACTTCATCTCCTAGGTCTTTTACAGATGTAACATGTAATGATAAGGGTTTTCTTAGCACTTGAATCCAGTGGTCTATGGGTATTTAATTAAAGTCCCTTTAATTTAGGCTGCTTTATACCTCATCACCAGTTGATCAGAGAAAACCAATTTGGTGTGTTAGTGCAAAGTTAGATAATTTCTTTAAAGTTGTAAACAATATGATTAATATTGATATTATAATGTAAATAGTCAAATCAAGAAGTTAACAATAATACAAAGTTAAACTGATTAACTACTAAGAGAACAATTTAAGAAGAAGAACTGGCCAAGTTATTGCATTGGCACAACCAATAATCAAATCACAAAGCTGACACAACACACATGATTAAATTACTTTTTTAATCTTTCTACCCCTATGCATTTATGTAGCAGTTTATACTTTCCCTTGTGGAAAGACTAGGTTAAGGATTAAATCTTTATGTATCCCAAATAACTCCTAGAAATCTAGGATGAGATTTGCTTCCAACCAAGGTTAATCAATACCCAATGGTACCATACGCTATGGGTTAAAACACATATGCTATTATTATTAATGGTCTCTAGGGTGACCAGATGTCCCGATTTTATAGGGACAATCCTGATTTTTTTGGGGGCTTTTTCTTATATAGGCACCTATTACTCCCCACGCCCTGTCCTGATTTTTCACACTTGCTATCTGATCACCCTAATGGCCTCTGTGACGGGATCCCTGGGGTGCAGTCTGAGACTGTGGGACCACTGTGCCGCCCTGAACTCTCTCCAGCCTGGGCTGTCTCTCACAATGCCTTGCTAGTGACCAGCAGCAAACCCCTGCAGGTGCTGTTATCTCTCAGCACAGCTGCATGTGGAGCCCCATACCCGCTAGATTGCATGAATGCTCCCAGAGCCGCTCATTAATCATACAGAGAAAGGAACCAGACAAATCCCCCCAGCTCCCAGCATGGTACTTCAGGAATTAGCATCTTGCACTGCTCAAGATGAGCAGTGCAAATGTATTAATTGGTTCATCGATGGAAAGTGGATCTACACCAGCCTTTGCAAAACCTGAGCAGATTTACCACACACTACAGGCAAGCCCCCTGGTAAAGATAAACAGTTAAACAAATTTATTGACTACAAAAGATAGCTTTTAAGTGACTATAAATGTTAGGCAAAAAGTCAGGGTCAGTTAACAAAGGAAATAAAATATAAGCACGCAGTCTAAACTCTCAACCCTATTAGACAGGGCAACAACTAGACTAAGCAGTTTTTCTCACCCCACTGGATATTGCAGTCCTTAATATACAGATTTTGTCCCTTAAATCTGAGCCAGTCTCCTCTGTTGGGGTCTTCAGTCTTCTTCTCAGTGTCTTTGTTGCTTGCAGCATAGGTGGGGGCAGGAAAAAGGCCAAGCATGGGGCCCCTGTGTTCTACAAACACATGGGACTTATTGTATAAAACAGAACACAAGTCCAGGCATGTCTCGTGGGCACTGCTGAGTCCCCAGGCAAGGTTGAACAATTCCCCTGGCGTGGCCTCATGCAGGTGAGTCATTGCATTGTAGCTCCCTTGCTGGACAATGGCTGTAGGTGGGTTGTTTGACACCCCACCTGGGCATTGGTAACTTTCCTTGCTGTTGTCTCTGGGGGGCTAATATCTGGCTGATTCCCCAACTGCCAGCGTGTTTTAGTGACAACCATACAACACAATTCTCATAACTTCATATGCATTAATTATATACATATATGGATAGAAAAATGACTTTCAGCAGATCATAACCTTTCCCCTCATACCTCACAGGGCCGGCTTTATATGCAAGATCACAATCCTATATAAATGAGGAATATGGGGGCTGCAGAGTGCTCCCCCGAGGTACAAAATGTCACAGCCCCACACACACACCTCTACCTAAAAAGGCTAGGACAGTATTTTTTTCCTGGCAGGCATCCCGCACATATGTTCAAATGTCCTGTTAAGGAGACAGAAATAATAAGGTTACATAGAAAAATAAGGGCTTGTCGACACTGGCACTTTACAGCGCTGCAACTTTCTCGCTCAGGGGTGTGAAAAAACACTCCCCTGAGCGCTGCAAGTTTCAGCGCTTTAAAGTGCTAGTGTAGACAGTGCACCAGTGCTGGGAACCACACTCCCAGCACTGGTAGCTATTCCCCTCGTGGAGGTGGGTTTTTTTAGAGTGCTGGGAGAGCTCTTTCTCAGCACTGTGCTGTGACTAAACAAGCCACGTTAAAGCGCTGTTGCCAGTGAAGATGTGCCTTAAGTGTGTACTCTTTAGCTTATACGTCTTTGAAGCTTCAGAGTCAGTTAGAAACTGCAGTTTGGGGAACAGGCAATGACTTCTGGCTCAGGTACCATCATGCTAGCGGACATCATTCTTAGGTTAGCTGGCTAGTCAACAATGTCTTTGTCTCTGTTTTCCTTGGAAGGGAAAGTATGAATATAAGACATAGTAGCGGTGTTGTGGTAATCTCAAGAATAGCACACTTTTTCCTTGTTTACCTGGTCTTTTATGGGTGAAACGCATGCTAGTATTGTCCCACTGGACTTCCTGTTGTGACCTTCTGACTGAATCAGGGGATCTGCATTGTCCAATTCTGATTAGGTGATGTCAGTATGAATCTTGGTCCACTTTTGGGGTTCTCCGTTTAGGGTACTGTTTCTTAGTTACATCCACAAGTTTGTGCTTTTCCACAATGAGCAACATTGAGGGAATACGATGAGGTGAAAACTCTATCAAGATGATTTCACCCCTTTGTATTTAGGTGAACAGACGAAACTCTTCAGTGGCCTCTTGACTGTTGTCACCTGTTGTCTTCCTGGTCATAACATTGTGCTTTGACTTACAAAAATACAAAAATACAAAAGTATTTCCCACCCATACACCCCATGCTTATGCTTCCTCAAAATGGACAAGGCTTCATAAACAAAATAAACGTTTACTGAACTGTTGCCACCTCAGGGATACTGGATGCAAGGTTATTTCACTCTATCAGGGCTGAGTCAAGCTGCTTCAAAGCTACTTATTAAATCCATTAACATAAACTTATTAAATATATAATCCAATTAAAGTGTTTCCTTGATGTCTACAAGACTACGTCCACACTATTCTGATGCTGTGATCTGAATATGCAGAGTCACTGGCATCACTAGTGTTTTGAAGCAGGAGAAGCAATTTAGACAACACCTATTAAAAGTAGAATAGAACTCTCTCTCTCCAACCTAACTTGCCCTATTTTTAAGATGTTTTAAATATCTATAATTTCCAAATTTTGAGGCCATCTCTCTAAAGTCCTGCAGTCATTGTGTGATTTCAGTTGACACTCCTGGGGGGCATTGGCCTGCTAAATCCAGGGTTGTGAGTTCAATCCTTGAGGGGGCCACTTAGGGATCTGGGGCAAAATCAGTACTTGGTCCTGCTAGTGACGGCAGGGGGCTGGACTCGATGACCTTTCAAGGTCCCTTCCAGTTCTAGGAGATGGGGTATCTCCATTTTAAAATAAATAAATAAATAAAATTCACAGGTAAAGGCCTCAGTTCAGGAAAGCATTTAAGTATGTGAGTAAATTGAATTGAAGTTAATAGGATTTAGCACCACTGTGACATACAGGGTACAATCCAGACTGATGAGAAGCTGTCTCACCCCTGTCCTGTAACCAGGGGTATCCTTTAAAATGCCTTGCTGCTGACAAACCGTCTCCAGCATGAACACACTCGCAGCTATGTCTGTGTGTCTGCTGCAGCCAACCAGCCAGCCACACCTTGGCTCTCATCAGCCTTAAAAACCACCACAGGGTTACCCCAATGCACTCCCAATCTCAGATTTCCCCCCAGAAACGTATGTCCTTACTGCTCAACCCTCTCGTGGACAGTGCAATATACTGAGTCCATTATTCCTTTAAGGGAATAATATGCACACAACTTGTTGCCCTAAATGGAGTTACTCAGACACTTCATCTTGAACACAGTTGATTAAATAAAACAATAAAAAAGGTTTATTAACTACAAAGAAAGATTTTAAGTGAGTACAAGTAATAAGACATTAAAGTCAGAAATGGTTACATGAAAAATAAAGATAACATGCTTACTGGTGCCTAACTTAATGAACTATATTAGATTCAAGCAAAGTGTGTCACCATAGCAGATTACTGACCAAACTTTCAGGTCAAGACCTTTTCCCCAGAGTCCAACCATTGCTTTGTCTTTTCAGGTGCAGTGAATGTGATGGACAGAGAGAAAGAGATAGGGGTGCGTGGGTTGTTTGTCCCTCCTTTTAATAGTTTCAGTCCCCTGCTTGAAAAATATTTCTAGTTGAGAACGAAGAGCCAAAGAATCTATGTGGAAGGATATTCCCTTCTGGGTTTTGCACCTGTCTGAATTTCCTTTTTCTTCCCTTTACGCTTGTTGACTCTGTTTACTGCTTAAATACAAAATGGGCAGAGCACAAATTCCTTTGTTCAGGACACAGACCTGACATCATACAGGGAAATCTTATAATTTCACATACAATGTTGCCCTACATATTTTACCAGGACAATACTGACCAGCAAATTATGAGTTTTCAAATGACATCTTACAAGGCATACTTTGTATGAAGATTATTAGAACAGTGTACAGGGTGTGAATACAGGAGTGTTTTCTGTCACAAACTCCTTAAAGTTAAGCACATATTTATGTGCTTTACTGAATCAGGTCCATAAGGTGTAGCACCTGGCCCTTTACAGAGGTAGTGAGGGAATTTAGGTACCAAGCTTAAGTTTTGATAATGAAATAGTTTTTATTTTACTTAAAAAATTTAATGGACATGTTTTTAATTGAAATATTCTCTCCTGCAGTGTTGTTAACCCAAAACTACCTAGAACACCCCACACAATTCATAATTAAAAGCTGAAAACAATGTTATTCCCTTCTTGCTAAATTACTATAGCTGAAGTTTTAAGAATCTTCCATTGGTGTAACTGATCTCCAAAAATGCAGAGTGATTTATATAGCACAGAACATTTATTTCTGTGCTATATAAATTAAATTTATAAATGCTGTGTGTTGTTCTCCCGCCCCTTATTTCTGCTCTTATTTCCCCTCTTTAGTGTCTTCTTTACTTTTCACTCTGGTCCAACACTCATAAGGATGGCATGCTGTGATTTTACTATTCTGAGTATGCTGTCTTGGTCACTTTAGAGCTTTACCTAGAGTGCTCAGTACAGTTTTAGATGCACAGTAACATATATTAGCTTTACAGTATCATATGTATGGTACACAGACCACCTCAGGCTCTGATGTCCTGAGCTAAAACAGCTTTGGACCTGAGAAACCTCCCAGAAACCCAGGGTGCTAGATGAAGTATGGCAGATGGCTTGGAGGGTGGCCCTCTTGTCTCTTAGTCAGTATTGAGCCAGTGTTCCAGCGACACACTGTTACTGGAAATGAGGCGTAGGGTTGTCAAAAGTGCCTAAGTAACTTAAAAGCACAAGTCCCATTGTCCTCCTAAATCACTTAGGCACTTAAGAAAATCCTACTCGATGTCTTCTGGTTGAATTGTAAACTGAAGTTCTGTTCACAGCATTTTTCAAATCACAAGATTAGGATCTTTAACACAGTGTCCTAATCAGATTGCAATTTGAGTGACAGCGTTCTGCCTGAATAAAACAATTCCCCTTGTGTTTCCATTGATGGTGTGTCAATTCCCGTCCTACAATAAAAGTATTATTGTGTATTGTTGCTGGCATAGATGGTCTGAGGCACTCATCTCCAGGGAAAATATATATATCTCCAGGGTATAAACCACTTTTGGATTTGTCTGGATGAAAGTAACTATATGAATACAAGGTGTTACTGCTGTTATTAGACATTATATTTAATCTATTCAGAACCCTCTTACCTCTTGTGAACCAAGTAAAGGATCACCTGGTTTCTCATAATGAGATGCTGAACTTCAACTGACTGGTTACATCTGAAAGTCAATCACTCTTCCCAGGAGCATTGGAGTATAACCTTTAACTCCTGCTTTAGTTCATCAGCACTAAATTACAGTTGCCTGGCACCTTTGTATGAGTGTATGTTAGGAAGTTAAATTGAGTTGGTAGCTAAATTGCAATACCCTTGTACTAGCAGTAACAGAGTGCTCCCCATTGTGTAAAAATCTTAATTTGTGACCTTCACACTTCAGTTTTGGTTTTTCAACCTCATTTTGCAGTTTGGGTCAGCGTTTGAGATAGATGGTAGCTGGAGATAGTTAAAAAAGGAATGCTGAAAGTTTTAAAAAAGTTTACCCGCTTTGTAAGCTAGTTGTAAAATGACCAGCATTTTTTGCAAAACGTAGTCTTCAAAAATTTGCAACTAGCTCTATAGTGGTAGCTGTTTCCCTGGCCTAAGACGTGTTATGTATTTGCTACTTAGTGAATTGATATGTAGCATAAGTAATTAAAGCCTCACAGATTTGTGTTAGCAATATAAAATGTTTGCAGTGTTTTCTGTGAAAGGTGATGTATTACAGTAGACAAAGGATGATTTTCTATAAAAAATAAATAAATATACTAGCATGTGTTCCACAACTGGTTTTCTGAATGCTATTGTTCCAGGACCAGCTTACAAACATAATGTACGTCTCTCTTTTTTTTTTTAATGCAGTTGGTAGAGTCTGCATTGATGGTTTTTGACAAAATAAAGTAATACATCATTACAGGGATTTGGCCTTTTGACTATTATTATGCCTTTTCCCCCTTGGTGAAGCTGAGCACCTGTATACAAGCCCAACTGATCGGCACAGTGAACCACCTCTATTTCGCCCCCTGGATCATCATGCAACAAATGTGCCTTCAAGGGGTGAGAAAGTCCTTTATTTCAGGTGGTGTGCTCCTTCCACCTGCATGGCTTCATACGATAAAAAGTTCTTGCAAATGTACTGAAGTATGATGAATTAATGGCTGCCATGTGAAAGCCAGGCCTGCAGTATCATTGGCATGCAAAGCAAATATGCAGTTACACTTCTTTGATGCTGTTATTGCTGTATGCCTGTATTCTGAAAAGACTTTGATAATCCTTTTAACTTCCTATTGTTGTCTCTTTTCTGCTTTGTTCTTTCAGGATGTGCACTGCTTTTTCTAAATTCCTTTCTATACCGGCATAGCTAGGTCACTGTAGCTATGCTACTATAACTCCTTAGTGTGACACAACCTACACTTATGGAAAGAGTTTTTCTATCAATGTAGGAATCCTACGTCCCCAAACATAATCATTCTTTCGTCGACATAGCTCCATACACAGAGAGTTAGACTGGCACAGCTATGGTGCTCGGGGTTAAAACTTTTAAGTGTAGATCAGGTGTAAACCAAGAGCAATGGAAATTGTTTATCGGGTTCAAGTGAAGATAACAGTATGATTTATTTTCCAGCTTTGTTTCAGAGAAAGACCATTGTTAACTTCATAGTTTGGCTATTATTGTATTGTCTATTAGACAAATGGTGTGATTGAATCGACCATGTCTGAGGGTGTGCAAATCTGCTCTCTCTCTTTCTCTTAAGTGAAACTGATGATGTACTGAAAATGAAAACTGATCTATTTTTTTAAGTATAGGTGATGAAGGCTTGAATATGTTATTTTGTTTCTGGTCTGTGGCTTCCTTTTCTAGCTTAATCCTAGTAAATTCAATAGTGAATTTTTGACCTCCGTGTTGCATGGTCCAAGTTAAAAAGTAGAAAGAAAAGTTTGAATGTTATACAAAAGAATGCTAGGCCTTTGTTTGAACTAGGTGAAGGGGCTAATTAAAGAAAACTAAGTAGAGTGTACAGCATAATCTTGGGGAAAGAAACATGCCTGTATACAGAAAATCAGTCTTTATCCAAGATGATGCCTCAGAGCAGTGCCCCTACACTCAGGGCTGGTGCTACCATTTAGGCCAACTAGGTGGTTGCCTAGGGTGCCAAGATTTGGGGGTGCCAAAAAGCGGTGCTCCCAATTTTTTTTTTTTTACAGTGGCCGCTGCGCTGGGAGGGAGAGGGAGTCTGAGCCACCGGCAGGCAGCCCAGGGGTTCCCTCGGGTCAGCGCGCCGCCGGCAGCCCAGGGGAACCCCTGGGTCAGCGCTGCCGCATGGATCCCCGGGCCGGGGGGTGGGGAGTTGCCACGGGGGGGAGCCTCAGGGTGCGGAGGAGCTGCCGCACGGCTCCCTGGGCCAGGGAGGAGCTGCCGCGGGGAGGTGCCTCAGGGTGGAGGGGGGGCGGGGAGCGTGCTGCAGGGCGTGGGGGGGGGGGGCGCGGCAAGGTGCAAGTTTCGCCTAGGGCGCGAATCTTCCTTCCACCGGCCCTGCCTACACTAGTTAAACAAGTCACACACAGATTTACCATACAGCACCAGTTGTCCTTCCACTGTATTTACATTTTTCAACTCTCTCCTTTTGAAATGTAATATTTATGCTCAGCAGCCTGCGCTTATGTTCTGGACCTGCTTTCACAAGCTCCTCCAATACCCAACCTGCTTTTACATTTAGCACTTTTCAGTATATTACTTGCAGCTCAGAATGCTATTTTTGTATTGACTGTATAATTACAGCACTTGAATTTATGTGGTTTAATGGTAAAATTGTCTAGTTTGGAATAATGAATGAAGATCTTAGTCAGCAGCATAATGGGACTTGTTAAACGCCTCATTTGATGTTAGTGCACCTTGTATTTTTAATTCCATTATAAGTTTCTTAAGGAACAAAAGGAGGAGTGACTTATATTAAAATAAAAATAATGTACGAGTATTATTTATGGAACATTCTGATTTTAAAACCTTTTACCTTTCAATCTTTTAGAGGAAAATTCTGCTGTTTTCCCTTTTTTTTCCCTTTTAATGAAGGAGTATTTATTCTAAGTGAGCTGTCATTACAGATATTGTTTGAAATGCCAAATTGATACCTCTAGATAAGTAACCTGACCTTTCTTAAAACCACCATATGTTTGCAGTATATTCAGTGTGTTGCTATACATGACCCTTTAACTGCTAACATTAGCCTGAACCTGTTTTAAGAATAACATGACCGTACGTAAACAACAAAAATATAAAGCATCTGAAGATGATGGAGAACTCTAATAGCGGGAATGTTTCTGAGCTGAGAACAAGGATGCAATACATAGGCATACTGGCTGATCCATTTTTCCTCTTGCCCATATGCAAAATATCTATAAACTTTTAAGAAGGACATGCTGTTGAACATAGTCTGAGTGTGGAGCTATATGAAGAGAACCATCATTGTGTTAATAAAAGATTTTCTGAAGAACCAAATGAACCTCCCAGTGACCGTTCACCTAAGAAATTGAATATTAGATGGTGTGTGTACAGAGTATATACCTTTCTTCACTGAAATTGGGAAAGAAGCTACAGTAGTGTTGGCAAAGAGGGGTTGAAAATGCGACACCTGGGAAAATACAATTGGACAGTAGATCTGTTAGTAAGCCCACAGAGCAGCACATTGTAACATTTTAGCCTATTTTGAAAGCACTGGCTTTGCAGTTAGGTAATCAAGGTGATGACAAATACTTTCCTTCCCATGTAATAGTGGGAGATTTTGTAGCATGACTAAAGTTCAGACTAAAGGATTAACAACAAACTATCTCTCAATAGCAAAGTGCAAAGGCAGAGGGGAAAAACATTTTTAAATCTAATGGAGCTGTACGAAGGGTCTTATTTTGGCTCTCCCTTGATGTTGAACCATTAGGATGTCAGCCATGCTACCACTGAAACAAATCTGTGCCTTTGTTTAAAGACCAGGCATCTTCCAAGTATTTGCTTCCATTTAGATCTTGATAAACATGCTGTATTCAAAAACCAATCCTGGGACTGCTTTCATTCACACGCAGAAGTGGAATTAAGGCTTGGTCTACAGTCGCAACTTACGTGAATAGCGTAGCTGAATTCGACGTATTGC